CAGGCTTATCAGGGAAACAGGTGGTAAAAGGCAAATGATAAGCGAAACAATCTCCGAGAAAAATGGCACTATAATTAGCTCCCAGGATAGACGTCTGGAGCGCTGGAAAGAACACTATGAGGAGCAGTTTAATTGGCCCACAGCCACACTTAACCTACCGGACATCCAACACCTCCCTGAATGGGAGATAGACACAGGTCCTCCGTCCTTAACCGAGGTTACTAAAGCTGTCACCAATCTGAAGCTAGGCAAAGCAGCGGGACCTGATTTATTGACTCCAGAGGTATTTAAGTACGGAGGCGACAGTTTACTGTCTGCGTTAACGGAGGTTCTAGGCAGCGTCTGGGAATCAGAGGAAGTCCCATCGGGTTGGTGTAAGTCACTGATCATCCCGATATACAAGAAGGGGGACAAGTCGTCTTGTGATAATCACAGAGGGATTAGCTTGACTAATATAGTATCTAAAATCCTAGGCTCAATAATACTGCGTAGATTAAGTGGTGCTCGGGAGACACAAACACGAGAAAACCAGGCAGGTTTTAGGCCAGGTAGAGGGTGTATTGATCACATCTTCACCCTTCGACAGATTCTAGAACATAGGCATTCCTACCGGCGTCCGACAATCATTATATTTCTTGACCTAAAGGCGGCATTCGATTCCGTCGACCGGGAGGTTCTCTGGCGATGCTTGGCTGTAAAGGGAATGCCAAGAAAATACATTGCACTGATTAAGGCACTCTACTCGTACTCATGCAGCCAGGTGAGGGCTTATGGCGAGTTGTCATCTGAAGTGGTGACGACTAGTGGCGTCCGTCAAGGATGCCCATTATCCCCATTCCTATTCAATTTCATCATAGATGTACTAATGGACTTAACCCTAACTCACTTCAGCGACTCAGGGATTGACTTGCTACCAGGGAAGAATCTCGTTGACTTAGAATACGCGGACGATATAGTCCTTCTAGGCGAGGACTCTGACAAAATGCAGAGTCTACTGAACACCCTGAGCAACAACCTCCGCATGTTTGGCATGCGATTCGCCCCTATAAAATGTAAGATGATGCTGCAGGATTGGACTTTATCGACCCCTAGATTAGAAATAGGAAGTGAAGTGGTAGAACACGTTGACCGCTTCACTTACTTGGGAAGTACCATCAGCCCCAACGGGTTGATCTCCGACGAAATTTCAGCACGAATACAGAGGGCTAGGTTCGCCTTCGCCAGTTTTCGCCGTCTCTGGCGTAGACGCGATATCCGACTATCGACCAAAGGGCGTGTGTACTGCTCAACAGTCCGCTCCGTCCTCCTTTATGGCTGTGAGACCTGGCCATTGAGAGCAGAAGACATGAAAAGATTAGCTGTCTTCGATCATAGGTGTCTGCGTTCTATCTCCCGCGTGAAGTGGAATAATAAGGTGAGCAATATTGAGGTTAGGCGTCGAGTGCTAGGTAAGGCGGGGAAATCAATCGACGAGACTGTGAAATTGCATCGACTGAGATGGTTAAGACATGTGCTACGTATGCCTAGTCATCGCCTTCCTCGACGGGCAATGTTAGCTGATATAGGGTCAGGCTGGAAAAGAGCTAGCGGCGGTCAAACCAAAACATGGCACCAATCAATGAAATCCACAACAGTTAATCTAAGCCACGTAGGAAGATGTAGACTTCCTGGTTGGGGCCCTCGGGATGGTAAAAACCAATGGTTGGAAACAATTGGCGACGTGGCTCAAAATCGTTCTCAGTGGCGCAGATGCATCCACTCCTTGTGACTTATGATTTCCAATTAAACTGTTTTGTTCTCCGTTATTACTATTCCTTTGTCTCACACCACTGTTTACTGTCTATATTTTGCATTTCTTCTACTTCCTTCTCTTGCTTTGCGTGCTACATGGATTGTGGCGACTTGAACTGCCGCACATATGTGCAAAGTTCTATGTCGAAAACAGACAGACAGACAGACACCAATTGTTTCCAACCATTGGTTTTTACCGTTCCGAGGACCCCAACCAGGCAGCCAGTCTACACCTTCCTACGTGGCTTAGACTAACTGTTGTAGATTTCATTGACTGGTGCCATGTTTTCGTTTGACCGCCGCTAGCTCTTTTCCAGCCTGACCCTATATCAGCTAACATTGCCCATTGTCGAGGAAGGCGATGACTAGGCATACGTAACACATGTCCTAACCATCTCAGTCGATGTAATTCCACAGTCTCGTCGACTGATTTCCCCGCCTTACCTAGCACTCGACGCCTAACCTCAATATTGCTCACCTTATTATACCACTTCACACGGGAGATAGAACGCAGACACCTATGATCAAAGACAGCTAATCTTTTCATGTCTTCCACTCTCAATGGCCAGGTTTCACAGCCATAAAGGAGAACGGAGCGGACTGCTAAGCAGTACACACGCCCTTTGGTCGACAGCCAGCCGGATATCGCGTCTACGCCAGAGACGGCGTAAACTGGCATATGCGAAACTAGCCCTCTGTATTCGTGCTGAGATTTCGTCAGCGATCAACCCGTTGGGGTTGGCTGATGGTACTTCCCAAGTAAGTGAAGCGGTCAACGTGCTCTACCACTTCACTTCCTATTTCTAATCTGGGAGTCGGTGTAGTCATCATCTTACATTTTACAGGAGCGAATCGCATGCCAAACATACGAAGATTGCTGCTCAAAGTGTTCAGAAGACTCTGCTGGATTTTGTCAGCGTCCTCGCCTAGAAGGACTATATCGTCTGGATATTCTAAGTCAACGAGATTATTCCCATTTCCACTACTCTATACGACCATTCGATTCAACATTCCAAATCTGCAAATAAGAAAAGACCATGTAGTGAATATCGTTATTATTTTATATAATATGTATATACGTATATGAGAAAACAACTGAAATTCTTGTTATTTGAATATATACCAGTGAAGCCAAGTCTAGAAGATGCACAAGAAGAAGACGAAGTAGAGAAAAACAGCCATACAATGCTTATATATTGGCCCAAATACATTTTGGACAGGAATTAATACAATTACAAACATACTTAGTAGTAGTATGCATATAACAATAATAATAATAACAATAATGTATTCCTTAAAATAGAATTGATAAATTACTGCTACTGTTATTATTATTATTATATAATTACTTTAGTTAGTTAGTAATCTGTACAAAAAGAGTTAAACGAATGTGTGTATGTGTGCGTGCGTGTGTGACAGAAGAAAAAAAACTGAAAAAAGGATCATCACATTAAAATTAAACAAACACACACACACACACACGCACACATACATACATCACACACAGTCATTCATTCACATCAGTATAATTTGTTAATAATCTCCATTGTATTATAACAAATTATATACTTAAAACACACACAAAAAACTTATCTGCCTATGATGATTAACTCATTCAACAAAATCAAAGTTATATAATAATAATAATAATGGTAAAATTGTTGGATTTCACTCCAAAAAGAAGAGAGAGAGAGAGAAAAAGGAACAAAATCTAGTGTGAACACACTGTAAATCAATTAATTATTCACCACTCCACAGTATAAGTATACACGCACACACATAGAAGAGTGCGCAATAGTGCCAGTTATCTTTAATATATAAGAGGAGAGTAGGAGGAGGAAAAAGCATAGTACTACTATTATTACCACAGCTATAATACTATTAATACTAGTACTAAAAAGAAGTAAAATTGGACAGTGACAAACAACAACAAAAAAGGGTGATGATGTAATATATAACTAACTAGCAGTTTTCAACAATAGTATTTCAACAATTTGTAACAAATTAGACCACCTCTTCTTCTTCTTCATTTTAGTCATGTTTATAAAAAGAATGAAGGAATAAATAAATAAATAAATCAGTGAAAGCGATCAAGTGATACACACACATATGTGAGCCACCCCACCACCCTCGGCAGAAAGGAGGCATAAACATCCACACACACACGCCTATAGTAAATTAAAATTCAGAAATACAATATTTAAGACGAAGAAACAACATTTCAACCTAAAGAAACAAAAATGAGGGAAACTATTATTCAAAACTAAAAAAGGGCGCAAATACAATAATAAAAATTATCAGGCGCTAGACTCTTCACCTAACTAACTGAATAAACAATAGAGTAGTACTGCATACACAAAACGCACACACACGCACAGTCCTAGTTTTGATCATCAACAAAAAAGGAAATATTTAACTGTGTTGGACCAGAAAAAGCACTAACATACACACCACACACACTGAACTAAACAAACTAAATTCAGTGAATTTAAATGAAACCTCTGGAAATGAAAGAAGCATCAGTTCATCAAGTGAAATACAGGCACACACACATACATACATACACAAAATGCTGCTAATACACACACACACGAGGGGAAAGTGAATTAATAGTGTAGTGATGTAGAATAAATTGAGGCGATGAAAATAACAGACTTATTCTGGTGGAACAATGGTGGACAAAAATAAACCTCCTCCCATTGTATACACACCAGCTCACTTACATATCCATACATACATAGAAACACTACCAGTATGTACGCAGGCAGCAGCAGCATGTGATTGTCTGAAACCTCAAAATTGTACTATTACATAAAAAGTTGTTATGTAATAGGATAACAATAATAGGAATAATAATAATAATTTCTGTTATTTTGTTTGTTTGATTGCAAAAATAATTTTGTGTATATTAGTGAAGAATGAAAGAAGTATATCGTGTTGTCTTAAGAAACTGTTTCGTTTTTGTTGTGTTTTTTTTTTGATACGAGAGCACCAAAAGGCAACCAAATATTATAAAGGTTAGTAAAAGTTCAAGCTTGTGTACAAAAAGAGCAATATATATATATATATATATATATATATATATATATATATATAAGTGCAAATTAAAGGACCACAGAAAACGTACTAACACAATGGAGATTTCAAGAATCAGCTAATCGTCAGGTATTATTAACACAGAGGGTAAAGATACCCAAGAATGTGACAGAGAAAGAAAGTAGTAGTAGTAGTAGTAGTACGGCAAGGAGGTTGAAACAAATAAAGAAAAGATAAAACACACAGTAAATGTGTTTACTCCAATAATTGAAGTCTAATCGAATAGGACAATAACAACAATAAAATCATTATTATTATTATCATCATAATTTGTTTTGTTTGAAATTGTAGATTTTATGGTATGAAAGCAGAGCGGTAGCGAGCATAGACCAATCTCAATGACATTTTCTTCCCTAGTTGTTTAAGGATGATGTCAAAGCTCCATATCTCTAGCCATATCGTCTGTATAATCTGACATAGAACTTTCGCCATCTGAGGAACTAGACTCCGCATCTCCATTCTCTTCAGCTTTTAACGCTTCTTCACTTGCAAAACGTTGAACATATTCTAATTTAAAGGTGGGAACAAAAATTGTCAAAGTATGTTTAACTGGTTTATAGTTCAAAGTGTGATTAATACTGCCCAGTGAAACAAAGCATAAGACAAAATAAACTACTCAGCATTAACACACAATTACAGAGTCCTTAAGTGTGAAACGAAAAATCCAGTAATCAGCGTCATGTTTCCACCTTACTGAATGTAGAGTGACTTATTGTGAGAATACTGACTTCTTGAGTCAAACAATGCATATATTAGGTATCAAAAAAGAGTTTTACAACAATCTTCTCTCCCGGTGAAAACCAAGCCCATTGGCATTAACGCGAGATCATCAGATATCACTAATTTTACAGGCTGAGAAAACTCCATACATCTACACTGATCCATTAGATGGACATTAACTTCAAGTAGAAGGTTGAACAACTCAATTAAATTCAGATAACATCCTCATTAGTACTTGTATTTACAAAAAAAACATTGGAAAACTAATCTATCAGTATAATCAAAATAAACCAATGGGAAATCTACTTCCCTGGATATTTACTCTCACTTAATATATTCATTATTTTTATCTGTAGAGAATGTGTCATCAATTTCGGTAAATTCGAACTTGGAAAATCTGTTAATCGAATGCTTTATTTGTAAGCTAAGAGATATGCGCTGGTAACCATGATTCCCATTTTAGCAGATGACTGTTTTGGAGCGTTGATGCTTCAAATATCGGATGCTTGACAACCATGCATGCGGTTCGGATTTGATTCACAGTCGACTCCTTCCTAGAAGTCACTTGACCGGTAAAGAAAGAGAGGTTAGACGTGAGACTACCATTCCATCCAGTAAGGAACACTCTAAAGAGGAAGCTTGAAGCCCTGTGTTCCACACGGATCGCAAAAGAATGAAAAATGTCTCCAATGAAAATAGTTAATTACACCTGAGCTTCTTTGAAAGATTAAACGATAGACCGCACGATAGAATAGATGAACATATTTGCTCTGTGACGAAAGCTCAGTGAAGATTAAGAGGAGGATTCGAAGTATCGACTTTTTTACACACTTAAAATTTACCCTTAAGGACTTATGGATTTGAATATAATGTATTTAGATATGCTCATTTATTGAAGTTGACAATCAAATGTGTAAACGAAGTGAAATTCAGTAATTCTATGGAACACTACCAAACATACCCTGTAAAGTGCTATTTTTAGTTAAATATAGGACAACGATTTTCTAGAGTTCGTTTTCGCCAAAAAAAATGATTCATGTAGTAAACTTGAGGTATATCACTAAAGTTGACTACTGAAGAAACATTAGAAATATCATTTAGGTTTCCATTTCTCGTTTGGCTTAAACAGACAACTTTCAGTCGATGGGTCCCTGGTCAGAAATCCCACTCCTCCTACTTCAGCCTGACTGACTGAGTCTCAACGTAAACCTCTGCACAGAAGCGCAGCAGTTCACATTGCCACACAAAGTTAGAGAAAAAAGATTCAAAACAATAATGAGCAGAAATGTTCAAGAGAATGAATATTGAAGACCACAGAATGATTGTATATGTCACTGGTAGCGATTTTGAACCACATCATCAATAGTCCCCACTTATTGGTTCTTAGCCTCTTGGTGACTCAGACTGAGCAGTCTATACCTCCCTATGTGGCTCAAACCAACTGTCCTGGCTGGCTGGATTCAACATAGAACTTGGCACCGAAGTGCAGCAGTTCGAGTTGCCACGTTCCAAATAGCACACAAAGGTAGACAAGAAAATGAGTGAAGAGAATCAATAGAGTTTTGACAAGTATAAGAGTGAAACAGAATGAGTAATGGTAGAAAGGAATATGAAAGATTACAGAGACTGAATACATCTGCGTAAGCCATTGACAACGATTTTGAGCCATGTCACCTATTGCCCCCAGCCATTGATTCTTAGAGTCCCGAGGGCCCCAACCCGGAAGTCTGCATCTCCCTACCTGACTCAGTTTAACTGTCAGGGACTGTCCAGGACTTCATGAACTGATGTTAGGTATTGGTTTGGCTACTTTTAACTCTTTCAACCGAATAATCGTATGTCAGCTAACACTGCTTGTCCAAGAAGGCAGTAGCTTGGCATGCGAAACAGGTGTCTTAGCCATTTTGATTGGTTGGGTAGTATCATCAGTCCTGGTACATGAAAAACATACTTCGAGTTAGTGAGTACAACTAACAAACTTTTGTTGTACCAATGCACTTGAAAGGTAATGTCATACGGTGCAAATCTTACAACTTGCATACTTGACCTTAAAAGCAAGAAAACAATCAACGTTTTATATTTTTCAGGCTACAGTGTGTTTATTAAATGAGAAAAATGTAGGTGAATATCAACTTATGTTTCGGCCTTTTGAATGTTCAGAGAATTAGTTCTTTTGTTCTCTGTAAGTGTACAACAGTTATCCACTGAATCAAAAAAATACTCTGCATGGATCCTTGAATCATTAAATACTGTAATTTAATGCCTCAAAATACCAGTCCTAAATATACTGAAAATGAAATGTTACCTGCAAATCCATGCAGCTAGCAATGGGCTACACATACTGTGTGAGGGCCATTAGTACAATTTGGCTGCCCAAATCTCGAACCACAGTGACCGCCAGATAGGAATTCGAGCCCCTGTAACAGCTAGCCACAGGTCCGATCTAAATATACGAGACATCTAGGAAGATTTAGAGGGATAGTGAGTAATAGCGAGCTCTGCAGGAAAAATGAGATGTCTTTCAAAATTAGGGAAGACGTGGACAATCGCCACAGTGAAGAAATTAGGAAATACACAAGATGGGAGCGTCAACATCAGCTGCCAATAATGAAAATGAAATAACACAGATTCGTAGGTTAGGTGGGCGTTTTTATTGTTGCGTTGTGTGAGTTGAACGGTTTCGATCACGAAGCGTTCATTATTGCTCTAGACGTACTCGGAAGAAATTTATTATGAAGCTAGTGTGGGAGAAAACTACAAACTCCAGATGTCAAACTACATTCATCTCCCTTACTTTTGCAATTCCTAACCATATCTTATTTTTAGACAACTAAACAGATATTAGTAACAGTTTTTAAAATACTTTGCAGTTTACTAATAAGGATATATTTTCAATGTCTATTTTGAATATGACTTTCATTGAAAATCGACAGCGCCAATATGTGACGTGTTTGCTAAACCCTATGAACCTGAGCTATGATAACTTTGATGTTTCTCCTTTGATTACTGCCTGCTGGATATTTAGGGAGGAAATTTAGCAGCTTAGACTACCATTTATGTTAAAGACGTCTGTGTATATCGACTGAGACGGACTTTACAGTCAGAGTCTGAAAAGCACATAAAACCAGGATAACACTTCACTAGAGTACGTGATAATGCTTATAGGAAACTGTATTCGTCAGAGATCCCACTCTACTTCCAATAATTTTATCTTTGAATTCAATAGTTCTAAGGCATGTTTGAAACCATATGATAGGGTGTTTCAATGTGCAGTTAAAATATTGAAGCAATCAATGCATACTGTATGGGAGATTAACAAACTGCACATCAATAGTCGGGGCTTACAATGCAAACTGAAATTAGTTAAATACTATAAAGCCATTCTGTTTATACAGGGTTGGACTCGTCAATAGGATATTTCGAGCGACCCAGCATACGACCACCTCAATGTTTAGCCACTTTCCGATTCCAAACAGATACTTATACCACACATAAGCTATCCTTACTATTAACAGCACTTAGCAAATAAGACCAGATTATGTACAACCTTATTGCCAAAGTTCACTGTTGTTTCCTTTGAGACCAAAAATACTCAAACTATAAAAACATGATCCACATTCGTTGATCTAGTGTACTGTAATAAAAGTTAAACCTCATACTAACATAAACAGTTCGACATTAACATACGTGAAATGTTCTTCCCAGACAAACTAAAGCAAATGTAATATTGATGAGTTCAATCCGAAAAAGCGAAACGATTTTCTAAAGCAGTTCCGCGATTTACCTGTGAAGTTAGCGCCAAAGATTTTTGTACATGAGGACAATTAGAGCCTTACAATTAAATCAACCAGCTCCGACAACACAGCAGCAGCAAATTAATATACGCACAGTTCAGGTTTAAGAAGCGTGGCTGACAAAAGTGAATACAAAATACCTAAGCCTTCTCAATAATGTCTTTCCGTAGATTCCTCTTTGGTCAGCAAGGACAATCGAAACCACAACCACTGTGTATTTAGGCCTTTATTTATGATTAGCAGTCAAATCAGCATAACCTTAAATACGCACTATTAGGTTTCATGATTAGTAAAACCGTTCGTCTTTACGTCAGCAGTTGGAATGATAATAATTATTAGAAGAAAACGAGGTAGGACGTTGAATATCCCTAAGGGTTTTATGCTAAAAGTAGGAGTGACCATATGATAACCTTATGTTTGGCAGAGAAACATGGAAACAACTAGTAGGTTGGGCGCATGGTCACGACATATGTTATGCCACATGACTAGGATGGAACAAAAATTAAAGGTGGCCAAATCGAAAACTGGCATCGAATCATGGGGTATTTGACAGTTGTTTTGAGCAAAGTATGAGGGTATACACTGAATAGTTGTGGTGCTCAGGATGCTAAGAACAATCAGCTAGTCTGCAGGTGATATGGTTCAAAATCACCTACAGTGGCGTAGATACATCCACTCCCTGTATTTTTCCATATTTACTAAGTCTTAATTATTATCTATATGCTTATTCTTAGTCATGTACGTTCCCGTCTATTATAGTTTTTTTGAATTTTTTTACTCAACCTCTGTGTGACATATGGAATGTGCTACACTTCTGCGCAAAGTCCTATGTTGAATACTAAGTCGGGAAGTCAGAATAGCTTTGTGAAAACGACTAAATTAATTTCCCAGTAATGTATTAAGACAAATAATAAATAAATTCTACACACTGCTCACGACAGAAAGCGATGCACTGACAACCGGCATATTTGTGAAGACAAAATTTAATGTTGCTACTGCATCTTAGTAAACTACTGTTTTGACATGGACTGGATCCGCACAGACCCAACTGTGTGAATACCATAACTCTAGAACTTCAAGAATGTTTAGAAACACTATATTCTGTCATCTTCGGTCATTTTATTCTACAAGACATCTCACTAGAATATTATCGTGATAATATGTCCAAAATATGAATGGTGAGAAAAGCAACTTGGTAGGTAACGTATCTCATTTACCTGGTCAACCAAAACGAAATGCCTGCCAAAACAGCATATCTCCATTACACTAAAGCATGAGCTAGACTTGACAACTATAAAAGTGAGTCACTGTGGCTACATTCTGTCGTGTATGTGCCAGTGCATAAACAACGGCTTTGAGACATCAACTTATGTAGCTTCATAATATTACCACTGTCTTAAACAAAACAATAATAAAACTAGCTACTGCGACTTTAAAAACGGAGGCCCAGCCATGCTTGTATATTTTGTAAACAATATGACTACAAACTAGGTAGCTTACCTTTCACCTTCATTACATATTCGGAAGGCTTGAACATGAACAGGGAGGCAGCGTCACTGTTCAGTGGGTCTGTGGGATTTGGATAGGCCAGTAGTTGTGGCAGGAAAGATTCGAATATGTTGGTCAAATCTAAGAAACGAAACCTTAGAAGATTGTAAATTACCATAGAGAGCAGACCACTGCTGATTTATGACATCAAGACAAACGGTTCCAGACCTAAGTGGAGTAATACTTGAAAGTTATAACTTACGCTTCGTCAATATTTGGGTGGAATATTTTATTCATAAACCCTATTAATCCAAGGTGACTTTCTTAGTACTACTTACCAATGGAAGGTGATTTGAAAGGATAACGTTCAGGAAGATCCACACGGACTTTCCAGATACCACCCTCATATGGAGCTGGAAAATAATGATAATGTTATTAAGTAATTACTTTCTGGTGGGCCAAAGAATTTCACCATTAATTCGTTCAAGCCGCCTAATATAGTCACTTCGTACTTACTCTCAATCCTTTAAGTAAATAAGTTGGCTTCATCATTAATAACTTACAATTTAACTACATCTGTATCCATCCTTTTCTTTCCTGGACTGGGTGACGACATTTTCAAACTTTTAATAGTAGGAACTAGCGCGAAAACGTTGTTGGGTTTGGATCAGCTGTGATCGGAAAGTGAAACTACGACAATATCTACGCGAATTCCACTTTCACTAACTGCTGATGTGGAATTTATCTACTCTGAAATGGTCCCCTTGAAATACCAGAAGCTTTTACACAACGAGAAACGCAGAAGTTCAACCTTAACTACACAGTGACGCTATGAATGAGGCAGTCGTTATGACGTTATCGCAGCTGATTGCAGGTGTATCAAGGTCGCGACACCAGCTTCCCTTGTTCTATAATACTAACAAAATTTATTGTTTCTTGCCTTATAATAAATAAAAAAATATTGATATTCTCTTAAAATGATTTAGAAGTGACCTTGCCAATTGAATGCATCAGCTAAAAGCAAAGGCGCGTCATCAAAATGTCATCTTAAGGTACAAAAATTATTACTGTTGTAATAGTATAAAAGCCTGTATTAACAGATCGCTAAGCAGAGTAAGTTTTCTTTCCATTCATAAAGTCAATTTTCCACTTCTGAGACTTGATAAAGAAAAAGACTAAATTGCTGATAGGTTGGTATTGTAATGAATATATGTCCTTGCAGATATCATGTTCTGCTTTCATCTCTTATGTAACTGTTAGTCTGTATGCTACAGACTGGTGTTGGGGATGCGAAAATTTACCTGACAAATATGAATATTTAATCAAATAGTGAACTTACCAAGCTCCTTCCAAACAGTAACCACCGACCGACTCTAGTCTGTTCACTGCTGTAAACTACTGTCCTACAACTTACATTAATTTATCAGGCCTGAAGAAAGCGTATTCACTCTTTCCTGCTCCAGTGTCTTTACAGAGACCACTCTGGCCAAATCTTCACCATCTAACCAGACGATGGCATTTCTAGCGTAAATGATATTAGATTGTGTAGTACGAAATCCAACTGACGGAACTGTAATACTTTGGACAAGTACTTTGACATGCAACCGGGTCCTCATTACGAGGTGATAAAATTTCCAGGCAGACAGCTGTAGTCTGGAGGAAGCGCCTCTGAATATTTCTACTAAGAGTGCAGCTGCCCGCACTGATATCCATGGATAGGCAACGGCTATAGGAGAGTTGGTTCGTACTTCTTTTGTGGATAGCTTAGCCAACTGTGCGCTGCGCGCTAAATTCCTTGGACTACTTCCGTCCAGCACGGTGGACCTGAAGCGGACTGTTTTTCGATTTATGGATGCAGAGCGCAAACCCTAGTTATCAACAACAATTCCATCGGTGCGACCACATCACAACATACCCCTTCCTCTGACGGCCAACCATGCCACTGTACCCCTGCAAATAACAGGCAGAGACTTAGAACCACCACTCTATCAAACTTTTGCCACCAAGACGCGCTATTGTGGACACAACTGCATGTTCCAGCAAGATAATTCCAACTTTTGTAATTTGTCTACGTATTCCGCCAATGGTGAGTCAAAAATAGCATTTGGGAACACAAACATAGTGTCCGAAAACTGCTTTTGGTTACTGATGCTCCAGTGTCCCTCGTCAGGACTTCCTACCACGGTCGATTACCCTAGTGCCCACTTTCAGCACCCGCTTATACTCTCTTGATGGCGGCTGGAGGCTTTAAGATAGAAACTTATGCTACTACGAATCTACCGGTCAGTCTTGGGTAACTGAATGTAACTTGTAGGTTCCTTGTCTTTGCACAGACTACATAGAGTCCTACCGTCGGCGTGAGCTACCTTAAGTTGCGACCCACTCTTACAGACGCCTCCAGCTCACAGGATATAGCTGAATCAGTCTATTTACCCCTCCATTTCACTCAACAATCAACCTGTGTTGAAGCACTGTTAATCCATCTCCCCCTACAGCATCCTTTGGTAAATGGTAACACTTGTGGATGAGTTTTCCGATGTGGTTGATGAAAGGGATAAACCGGGATGCACTAAGTTTTTGCGAAGGTGTGTGGGACTGGCAGTCAATTCCTGTATGTCAGCCTCTTAGACGGATTCCTGTTCATTATCAGCCCCAGCTAGTTACTTAGACACACTGCAATCTGCTGGCCCTTTCTGAAGTAACAAATAACGGTCAAGAGCGCGTTAGTGCATGTACCAGCCGTAACCTTAACAAACATGTTATTCCAGTTTGAGTAAAGAAATATTCGTCTTCAATTTTATCGAGTATTTCAGGCATTATCTTCGGGAACACACTCACCATCATTCTTTGCAGCGAATCTGAACATTTCGCGATTCAGAAGACCAGATTTGCAGGAACGCTTGATATATTTTGAATACACCTATGAGTATCGATCAAGACCTCGACATATGGAAACATATGCCCTCATTCGACTGCAGACTTTATTTTCCCCGATGACTGCTTTACCTAATACAGGAATGGATGCTGTTTAGACACCACTGCAGACCGTTAGTGTCGTCACTCAGCTTATGTTAACTTTGTGGGAATGATAAAAAGTAGAATAGAGAACTAAATAGTTTATCTGCGGCAGCACGGTGCATATATACAAAAGGGGGGTAATTACGGCTGATTAACTATATTCCTTGCATACTCAAGCCGTTCTCATCGTCTCACCCCTTAGTCCCATGCGCATTGATACAAAAGGTGATCAACTAAGTGACCATCAACTTGGTTATGCAGTTCAGCTCCAAACTGATAATACCGTCCATCAACAATTCGAGTGGCCACTGCTTCACCGCGACGTTTCTGGATCCTGCATCGATCGTGATGTATGTACATAAAAAGGGCAGATGTCACAAATACCGCAGGCGCCTTGAGCACACGTGATAATAAACGTTCCGAAAAAAACATCATGGGACCAGTTACAGCACTGAGATTAGGTGACCGGTACTTTCTGGTCATGACTGATCATTTTACCGAATGATGCGAACCTGTGACACCGTGAGGTACAATAAGGGCAGGTCATGCATTCATTGACACGTTAGTATCTCGTTTGGCTTCACACTCTGTCTACATTATGACAAAGGCAGTGCTTCCTATGGAAAAAACTTATGGTCATTTCGAAGCGTGTATATGCTCAAGCTCTGTTAATCATTTTTATTGTTGGTGCGAGGCAGTAAAATCTCTTCAAGTCAGCAGTAGGAACTCTATTTTTGTCTTCTTGCGTCGCGTTTTCGCCGGTATCCTATCGCGCCTTTGTTGCTAACAGTTGTTAGAACGATAGGCTCGCGAAATGACTAGGTAGAGAATTCGTTAGCGCGATTACCAAGTGTATTAACGGTTATATCAAAATTGTTCACTGTTCACATCACTACCAAATGTCAGAGAATGTCTGTAATCGTCGCGCCACCATACCAACCTATGTTGTTTGTTTCTGCGTCTGGCTTCGTCGGTCGTTGGTCTCCAATGAGTCGTGCCAGAATTTTTACGTCCCGTTGCTGAGTCCCTGAGGAGTACTACAACACCGACTACCAAATACGTAGGTTTCACGCTTACGGTAGTCACCATATGACAACGTTGCCGCAGCACATTTTAACCGACTGAAGCCGCATTTCCCAGCTATACCCCTTCACGACCACCACTCGCCACCAGATATCACGACTTACCGGCAGAAGGAGGCCCTGGCTATCAGCTACCACAGTCGATCACTGAGGACTGTACTTTTTGAAGAGAAGGGGTGATGCGACCGCATAAATCCATGTGTTTGAAGCACTGAAAATTATTAATTTCCTTTCGTTTCAGGAAAATACGGAGGGGTCGAAAATCTAACGCGAAACAACAACCGGGATTCGGTATTAGAGAAGACAGAATGAATAGCTAATTGTAGGGACTTGGCTTACTAATTCTAATTTTCGGAACTGCACTTCACTCACACTCTTTTCAAGTTCGTGTTTTGCGCTCATTTCTCCTGCGACTGTTAGTCCGTGTGCAACGCTGTAATTCCTTTTTCCAGATGTACCCAGTGAAACGTAGGATTTCAGCTGCTCATTTTCATTCCCGGTATTAGATCCCCTTGGTATATTATTCCCCACCGCCTAAGCTGAGATGGTAATATGCAGGTAGGTGAAAGAGACGACTTCCCATATGATTCTCTCGTCTGTCGTAAACGACATTTGTTGTTAGTCGAGCAAATTCATCAAATTTGTCTTCTTAATATTTTCAGAAAACCAGTTAGTCAGGCCACTTGATGTCTTCAAAATCACTTACTGTTGGCTTCACCTGGAGATGATAATGATAATAATATGCTCTCATCTATTTGCACATAAGTGACCCTAGTTTATAGGCGTCACCAATGTGTTAAATAATACACATATGGAGTAAGCATATTTACAAATATTTAAATACATGAGATACTTGTAAGACAATGTTATGAAATAGCATTGAAACGTCACTTTACACGGATAGAAGAAATGTACATGGTATAATTCTGGCACCGTTATTATTTAGATTTAGCCAAGGAAGCGTGATAACTAAAGGTTGAGTTACAAATCGTAAATATGGTACGGTATCCATGAAATGCTTGAATTGTTAGTTAGTTTACCCACAACAATATCTACAGCATTAGTAGCTGCAGGCGGCTTACAGCTGCAGCCAGTACCAGTTAAGGCTAAAATGAAATATCATTACACCAGGAGTGATCAGAAACAGGAAATTTTCACTTAAGACGCGGCTAGGAGCTAAAATATGGGCGATCTAATATATTTAAAACAAAAAGTAAAACATAAAGAAGATAAAAACACTATTATATGAGCCAGGAAGATTTTTGGATGCAAATGTAGCGGCAGGTAATTCCGCAGAATCACTGGCCTCAGCATTCATCACTGAACATTGGATGCTGACCCTCACTGTTTAAGTCAACTTGTTTAGCTCAAGGCTACCGGTCAAGCATCCACGCCATTTGACACGCTATCGTGCTACGTTCGTTCGTTCACGATCCCTAGCTAGTTAAGCAATCATTTCGCACTCCGATTTGGTCCCGAAATATAACTCGTAATTTGGACGATCAACTCTCGTGTT